CATTTTATAGCCTGCATTAGTGCTGTTACCAAGAAGCAGATGCCAGCTTTTTACCACAATCACAACTTATACAGCTAAGTGCATTTCCATTCAAACTTTCATTGGCACTTTGAAACCTTTAAACTTTATCCTTCAAAAACCTCTGTCCGTCTTGTGTATAAAAGTTGACACATGTATCTGGTTTTCTTGCCATCCAGGTAAATGCTCTGAGTGGAAAGATGCAAGTGTCCTGTTCACGGACACAACAGAAGCTGGCAACCTTTGGGCAAACTTTCAGGTTAAAGCCTCGTTCCTCCTTTCGCCGCTTTAAAATCAGATACACCAGCTTTAACCCATTTAACTGTTCGGTAGCTTACTTTTTGAGTCAATATATCTACTAAATCTACCTCATTGGGGCATCTCTATCACTTGGTTTTTAAGCACTTTTTCGCTACATAAATAAAGATGACTGATACATTGCTTTCTTCAAAGACTGAACAATAAGGGGTAAACATTTTAAGTTAAAGGAACAGTAAGGAAAAATCTGGCCAGGTTGCCAGATATACAGACAAATCCAGCTGGAAACATAATATCTGAATAAAGAGTTTTGTCAACATTAAATCTATAACTAACACCTCTTTCACAAAGGCCCCGATAGAAATCCTTGTTTTATTCCTTGTTTTGTCATTAATGATTTGAGAATCATAACAAGACATTTTTTTAGTTCTGCTGCAACACGTTACTTTAGTGAAATTAGCTCCATGCGGTGAGTTCTGGCAACCCGAATCACGGCCTTACTGATTTATAAAGACTAAACAAACAATAAGGACCAACGAACATTACCAACCTGTTTCCATGTGTCATGCATCGTCGCAATATCCTTATCTTATACCAGTGCAATATCCCTATTTTATACCTGAATGTGCAATATACAGCTGCTAATGTACAGATGTAAACACACTGCTGCTAATATACAGATGCTAACATATAACCACACTTTACTTGCACTAGAATACACAGTACTTTGTATATAATGTCACATTTTTACATCTATTATTATTTTCAAGATAGAGTTTTTATACTTATTATAGATGCTAGAGTTAGATATTATGTTTTATTCTAATTAGGACAGTTACTGTTCAGGTAACGTGTGCTGTGTGCTCCTCTTTCCTACTGTTCTATAACTTGTGACACTGAAATTCCCCCACTGTGGGACAAATAATTAAAAACACTCTTAATCTTAATACAGTGGAGGGCGGGACATCGAAATGAAAACCTTAACAAGATTTAGGGGCTGTAAAACTAATTTTGAAATCCAAATATCTCGGCTGAACTACTGTTATCAAAACGAGCATGGTTTATTATTTTACATTTCCAATTCAGTCGTTAAAACAACCAATCAGAAATTGACAAAACATTTCACACTGGGCTATGGCTGCCACCGTGACCTCGCTACATCAAATCTGCTCTCATTACAAAAAGGACTTATCTGTCAGAGTGAATCTGTCTGCGCGCGTCGTGAAGAAACACCTGCTATGAACTCAAATCCGCATTATCTCTGACCTTTAGGAAATCCCCTGCAGACAGCCATCACGGGCCGGACTCGCCCTTCACCCCGCTCCCCCCCTTCAGAGTACAAAAGTCAAAAAGCAGAGGACAGCTGACACTCTGGAGGATTAGGCTGTCTGAATCACATGCTTCTACAAACACATCACTCGCTGCTTCTATTGTAGTGGCCTGTGATTATTGTGGAGGGGCTTCTCAAGCTGTGGGGAAAGAGTTTTTTTTTTTACAGATGATAGAAGGATTGGGAAATTCATTGTTACCATAACACACACAGGCGAGCGGGGAGTCTGTTTGATTGAGAGAAAAAAAAACCAAACCCAGTTGAACATCCCAGAGCAGATGGAGTGATCGTACTGGTGATATAAATGCAATCATTACAATAATAATTACAGACAAAATTGACTTTAAAGAGTTTTAAACCAAACAGCGTTCCCTAATCATACCCTGATCAAGCTAACTTTAACTTCTAACTTTAAAAAAATAAATAAAATAATAATCATGTGTTTTGTCCAACCAGAAAGAGCAAAAGTAAGGACTTCTTCATCTTTTTAGATCCACATTTTCCCTGTGAGTCACTGCACTTTGGGCGGAAAGTAGATTGGCTGAGAGCTTGTTAATTAGATAATTATTTGAGGTTTTGTTCTTTGAATGGTGCAGTATCTGTTGTGCTCTTTTCCAACATCTACACCTTAAAATATTGCACAAACAACCCAATTAAACGCTAATGAGTTTCCATAAGAGGTCATAAAGTTAAAAAATATATGTACATATGATCTGAGTATTAAAATTGTCTCTTTCTCCTGTGATATATGTCACTGTTTTGAATTAATCACTCAATGGAGATTTATAATTTGTGTTATAAGGATAAGACTTAAAACAGAAAAAAGTGTATTATATGACCCAAAATGTGACCCTGTAAACGTACCGTTATTAAAAGAACAGTTCAATCTTTCAGAGGAAACCGTGTCAGACAATCTGTTGAGGGAGTTGGTTCTATCACTAGTTTTTTCACATGCATGTACTTTTGGCCTCTGTCACGTCTTTCGATCAGCTTGTTGGAGATAAAAGTGAAAAAGAGAGGACCCGTGTTTTCTTATACAATACAGACGCAAATGACATAAGTTCAGTGTATTTTATGAATGCAAAAAAAGATAGATATACAGGCTTAAAATATCAAAGAAAGAAAATATTGCATTTACGTATTTCATTCTCTGCATTTGACCCATCTCAACATTTTGAGCCACACAAGTATGCTGAAAAAAAAACTTGTTTATTCTTGATTAAAGCTACAATAATGACCTCTTCAAGCTTTAATAGTGTGTTTTGAAATGATTCATAGTGACAAACCCAAATGTCCACACGTACTTGTATTGTGTGCTCTTTGAAAACAATGGGAAGTGATGAAGTCGTATATAATTCTGTCACTTTTTGGCCTCAGGCTCAGTCGGTGCATCTGTGGGGGAGTCTTACGTCCACTCACACAAAACATCTACAGACAGCCGCTATAAAAGCATCACTTCCTCTCCCACACACACACATCAAGGCAGCCACACACGCCAGAGTCTAGACTAGAGTTCCCCCACAGGGGTATACGGGGGTATTACCGGCAGTACTTGAAATTATTCTAAATACTTGGAAACATTCATAGTAAGAGGTTAAAATGGGCTATTGGGCATATACAACATTTTAAATCTAATTCTGTCAAGATAATACCCATATCATTCATTATTATCTATTTATTCTATCTATTATAACTTGAACTCAGAACACAATAATACTTGGACTATCAGTCTGCAATAACATTCCTTTCCAGTTTTGGTCCAGTCCAAGAGTGAACTCATTTTGTTAAGAAAAATCCAAAAGGTAAGTGATTCTTTTTCACTTTTCAGTCAGAAAAGCTGATCTTAAGATGGTTACTTTTGTCCTAAGTAGCTCTGAGACAGTTGTGTGTTTTACATGTTTTTTTTTTTTTTGCTTTCTTGAAAGGTAGTTCATGGTTTTGCACTGGTCCAGACCAGAGCGGAGAGAATTCATGGTCCGAAAAAAGAGGATCAGGTGAAAACCCACGAGAGGAATGCTAACTTTTTGGAAAATGCTACTACAGTCATTCAGCATTTTACTTTGGACCAGAGCAGAGAAAATGGTTTGAACCAAGAGGCTGCTCCACCTCTGCTGTGACCTGAAGGACTGTTGTATTTTATTATTACTATTGTTAGCTTTTTAGAATGATCAATTCATTTGTTTTGTTTGTGTGGATGGATGTATTTTTGCTGCTAACAGACACCTAAGTTTCTCCTACGGGGATCAATAAAGTATTGATCTAACAGAGGTAAAATACCTGAATGTGAAACTAGTGATAGAACCAGTGGGGGTGGGTCCCGGCTCAAAAGTGGCCAAAATGACGTGCGCTGACATGCTTGCAATACCACCCCGGGCCGATGGGGGTGGATCCAGAAGTAGAATTAGCCAATGCTAACATATAGCATTGGCAGACCTCTCAAAAACGTCTTTACAGGATGGACCAAAAGTTGGCTCTTGGCCCAAAGCTCCGTTCCACATGTGTGTCAATGCTGAGGGGAGGGAATTTTTTTGGTCCACTCTAGTTTACTCGCTGTGAATTATTGAAGTCTCTCGTTCAAATGAATGGAGCTGCGCCGGCTGACGCATGCGCAGATGCGTTTTTTCACAATTGTCTTGTGGGCGGGACCACTCGCGGCCATTTTGGATAGCTCCAGTAGAGCACATTTTTTGGCCCATTAGTTAGAACGGCGGAGATAGGCGTGACTCTGTCCGTTAATATATACAGTCTATGGATAGAACTAAACTCTTCTTATCACATAGTTTTCTTTTCAGCCTCACCTACATTTTCACCAGTTATAAAAATATGTTGAAATAATGAAATTCCAATTTATAAAGACAAAGCTGACAAGTTGTGATCATGGATGTTTTAATAATGCACGTTCTTGTACTTTTACTGGAGAGTTCATATTAGTCACTGTTTAAAATGTACAATAATTCTTCAGAGACCAATAAATATGTATGCAAAAACATCTAGCAACACTTTCATCTTTTATTTCCTTTGATCAGACATTATTCACAAGCGTTGGTCTAGAAGATGAATTAAACACATTAACTTAACACATTGGATTAGACAATTACACATGTACATATGTGTGGGAAGTGCATAGACAGGCTTCAAAACAAGTGGAATAATGTAAATTTCTTTGTTGTAAAAATAGACTTTTAGATGTTCAGGGGGTGTGGGCTGTCAACAAGGTGTCAAAGTAGATTTCCACTGTGAACGAATAGAATAAATGACCAGGAAGCAAGCGGTGAATATTTTGTTTTTATGCCGTTTGTCCTCTGAGTTTGGAAACAGAGTGTCTTGCTGCACACATTCTCTCTTGTCAGTTCTTGAGAGAAAACACCCGCAAATCATTCTTGTTTCTTTAACCTCAAGTCTTCAGCTTGTCCTGCAGACAGAGGAAAACAAAACACAATTGATTGTTAGTAAAAGAGTTAAAAACAATGACACCACACCCATATTAATTTATGTATATTTTTATTTTTATTCTGCTTTAACTTGTTTGCACCGAGAGCCAAAGCAATTTCCTAGTTTGTGACTTCCTGTTACTCACATGGCAATAAAAGGACTCTGATTCTGATATTATACGGTGTGAAAAATGACATATGGAGTAAAAAATAAAAAACATTCATTGGAGCCTTGAGTTTAAAATTGTGCTTCGCGAATAAATCTAAAGTATATCTACGGAAAAAACATGTCATTCACTATGGAAACTACATTCAAACTACAGGGTATGATGCAAAATTCAGATTTATTTCCTAAAATGCTATATTTAAGCATTTATTTATTGACCATCATTTAAACAGAAACAAGTTCTGCCGAGATTTCAGAATCAGTTTCAATTTTGCGTATCGTCTCGTTCCGTTACATGTCTTGGAGCAGGAGTCAGAAGCAACACATACAGAATACAGACAGAACATGATACACACTAAATTTGTATTTATTTATTTGATACGGACAATGCACATTAATGAACATCAGTATAAAACAAATGTAAATATCCTGGATTATAGCTACCAAGCTAGTTTTCATCCGTAGTCCCTAGACAGTAAAATACATGAGAAATGACAAAATACAGTACGATAAAATACAAAATAACCATACAATACAGACAGCACAGGGAAAAGTTAAGATGCACTGTGTGTGTGTGTATGTAGCACACACACACACACGTTTAATCACAGGTCGACACATCTGTACAATCAAAGTTATGTATCAGCTTTAAGGGCTGAGTCACAACATGGTTATTAAACATGAACACATGTAATGTCTTTTGTGGCTAATGTACACCATGGTCCCAGCTCATTCCTGACGTGGGGGGTGCAAAAATGATAATAAAAAACAACATTACGATTCATCATGATAATTGCTAAGCATTTCTTTATCAACCTCTTAACACCAGCAAGTCCTATTCAAATAAATGGGAATCAATCCCCATTGAAGTCTTGCCGCTCAGTATGAGCTGACATTGCACCTGATATGTCATTAAAAGCATATTCTCAGTAAAACCACATCATTGCCTCTCCTTAAACCTAAAGGGGCAATAGGCAATAGTTACATTTGTAAATAAACCTGTAATTGTGTCACCGATACACTTCCTTCTTCAGTTTTCTTTACATTCGACCATAACTTGATTATGAAAGAAAAACAGTTTATTACTTTTCATCTGTGAATGTTGTGAAGAAACCAGACCACATAGTGCTGTATTTAGAGAACATTAAAAACACATTATCGTTTGCATACTTGAAAGAGTTATTATAGGTGGAAGTCTGAATAAATATATTTTGACTCCGGGCCCCAGACTTTCTGGATGGTTGCACTGGTGCTTCTAACTGTTCCGTTCAGCTGCACTGGCGCCGCATTTGAAGTACTTTCACATTCAATGATCTAGTTTATTAGACAAAATGCTAACTGTTCATAACAACAATCAACAACTTCATTTAAATAATGGAATACATGATTATTAGGTCTGGTGAATGAGGATGTGTGGAGATGAAAGAGGTAATGTGATTTATTCTTGCATTTAGTAAGGACAGTGCATGTTAATTAAGTAAATAAGTAATGTTTATTTATATAGCGCCTTCCACAGACCAGAGTCACAAAGCGGTTTACAATTGTTATTTTTTGGGCATTTGTCTCTCACTCCACACAGAGATGGGAGCGGGGTCGCCAGTACAGGAGGAGCATGCCAGACCTATTGTACATGTTTTTAGTGGTAGGGGAAACCGGAGTACCCGGAGGAAACCTACGCAGACACAGGGAGAACATGCAAACTCCGCTCAGAAAGGCCATGGTCTGACCGGGATTCGAACCCAGGACCTTCTTGCAGAGAGGCGAGAGTGCTATCCACTCTCCCACCAAACTGTTTGATTCTCTGATCTGTGTTGGTGAATCAGGTTTATCAAGTCCTCAAAGATAAATACTGTTTTGATTTAGAATTAGGGCTGCACGATATTGGAAATTAGAACAATATTCGATAAGAGTTTAGAATTTTTTTTGTCTTTTGTCTTTCACCTAAAAACGCAATCTGCTTTGAAACGCAAGAGACAAATAAAAAATAAGCACAATATTAATGACATTCAAATGCATATGTTGATATACTTGTTTGTTTGTTTGTTGTTCTTGTTGAATGTTGATGTGTGTCTGTTTTGTTGTCTTCAATAAAGGAAAGACAACGATTCACGTACCAATATTGCGATAACGACATTTGTTCGATAAATCGTGCAGCCCTAATTTAGAACAATACAAAAATAAATTGCTGAGTATACTGGGTGCAGCTCTGACTGCCACCCCCGACCCAGAAATGGATTAAGGGGAAGAAAAAGGATGGATGGACAAAAAAAGTATGTATATTTAAATTAGCATTGCAGCTACATCTATGAATACAAAAATAAAAACAATGCGTACGTTTAAAGTAATAATCAATGATGATTTTGACTTACTGTCCATTTTAACATCCATTTTCAGAATATTAAGATAAGAACACTTTATTGATCTCACACTGGAGAAATTTACATGTTACAATTGGCTTCAATAAGATCACTCAGGGTGAAAAAGGAAACGTGCAAATACAGTAGATCAAAGGTAAATAAGATAGGTATCTTATGAACAGCTGTTTTATCTACGGTTTTTGACCAGCTGTGGACCAATTATCAAGAATATAACAAAAAAGCTTGATACATCTCACTTTGCTTGCAATGATTCTGTCCTGTATTAGTTAGTTTCACATTGTAAATTGAAATAAAGAGGTAAATTGACATGCCAGCTTCACCTGTGAGACGAACCTTGAGCATACAAAAGCAAAGATAAATGGAAGTGAGAAGTCAGACGCCTTTTGAGAGCTCTCTAAGTGTAAGAGTCTGCAGTGCACTGAGAGGCAGAGGAGGGACCCAGGGGCAGTGGAGTCCATGTTAGCGATAAGTGCAGGCACAAATTCCCAGCCCTCGCTGTCAATAACCATTTGAACCAGGTTATAGCTACAGCTGCTGCTGCAATACGGAGACAGCCAGAGACCAGAGCAGTGGAAATAATCAAGGAGACTTAAAAAGAACCCAGGATTAGTCTGGAGCCATTTGTGGTTTGGACATGATTACTTTTAAAAGGCAGGATTGGTGAACTAAGAACTCTTGTATATAAGAGGGGATTGTAAATGTTAATAAGCAGGAAACATTTTGAGAAACTTTCAATATTATATCGGACAGTTTAAATATATTACATTTTATGAACTTGGGAGAGAGTCGGGTTATCTTAATATGATGTCAAACCAGGCACTAAAACAAAAACCAACCCTAGCCCGCCAATACCATACTTACGTTGATACGCATAACACAATACAATATAATGACTTATCTAATGCTCTGCCTCATTTGAACAAAATTAGGGCTGGGAATCGATAAAAAACATTAATCTAATTAATTAGAGGCTTTGTAATTAATTAATCGCATATACATATTTGACCTGAGAACAGTGAGAAGTAATTTTTTCACATGGATTTTTAGTTTACCATTGAATAATCATCTATACACATCATATAATTTTACTGTATTTATTACTGTCTATATCAATAATGCGCACTCTTCAGCCAGGTGCTGGCTCCTGTGAGCACTGCATCTGCGTCTCCTTCTATCTTTGTATAATGCCCAGAGTCTGAACACACACATCACTTGTAGATCATGTGGGACGATAAATAAAGAAGAGTGAATCATCTTACTCTCTGACAATCTTTGGCAGTCCCTGTGTCAGCGTGTAGGGAAAATAACTTTACTGTTTTGGCTGTTTTACCTCACGGGAGACCGCTCGAAGATCTGATTGGACACTGACTTTCAAACACACGTAGAAAATCCCCCACATATCACACAGACAAAACAAAAGTAGCGTTGTAATGCCTGAAATGTGTACTTCACAGAGAAAGAAAAGTGAGTTGCTACATTTTGCCATTCATGAGAAAATTGTACAATTATAAGACATGAGCGCAGGCATCAGATCTGATGCTCTAGACCTCAGAGGGTTTTAAGCAATACATGTTAATTGTGGATGATAAGGGGATCAGACGGACTTCTTTCCCATCAAATAACGTTTCTGTCATTGCCTCCACACACTCTGTCCACAACGAAAGCTTTTTATGCCCAAAATCCACTGCATTCGCTGTGAGCACCAAAGCTGGGCATGCGCTGTTTGCTAAAGCTTTTATAATACATTTTTGATGTACACATTCAGACTAAACATCAGCACACACATCTCTGTCTCGCGCCTCCTCTTCCGCCTCCTTCGCCTCCGCTCACACCAGCTCACACACACACACAGGAGTCGCTCGCTGCTCCTCCTCACACACAGAGTCCATCGCTTTACACACAGCGCTCTTTCCCGTCTCTAACTCACTCGGATTTAGACACAGCTAAAGTTGGTCTATGCTTGCAATAATGTACTTTTGAACAAAAAAAGTCACGGAGCTCAGTTGGTGCTCCAGTACAATCAGTTCGTCTGAAACTCATCCAGTGAGCAACGTTCCGCGGTGCAACGTCCCATACAATTAAAATGCATCCATTCTTTTTAACGCGCTAATCAACCCGGCCCTAAACCAAATACAACACTATTGATTTGCATTTATATTTGACAAATAGAAATAATTATTAAATATACACACCAATATGATTTTAGTAAAACAGTTGGTAGAGCACTGGCCTATGAGGCTGAATGTCGTGGGTTAGAGCACACCACGGGACCTTCTCCACCGACTCCCACTGATGACTGCTGTAGTTGTATCCATGGACAAGACACTTAACACCACTTTGCCCCGCTGACAGATCAAGGCTGTATCATCACTGACAGAGCATCCATCCATTGGGAGCAGCTCTGACTGCCATCCCCCCAGACCCAGAAATGGATTAA